CACTGGCAGTGCCAGGGGGCTGCAGGTTGGCAGTGAGGGGCACCAGTAAGGATGGCGGGGAATGTGGGTTGGGAGTGAGGAGCACCATTATGGCCTAGGGGGGCCAGGTACTGTAGTTTGGGAGTGAGGGGCACTGGCAGGTCTGGGGTCAATGAGTCAGAAGTGAGGGGCAGCAGCAGGGCTGGGGGCAGGGGGGGTTGTGGCTTGGCAGTGAGGGGCAACAGAATGGGCAGGGGTAGCGCACCAGCATGTCACTACCCTGGCCCGTCCACCCCACCATCATATTCCTTCCCTCCGTCCACCTAACCTGCATGAAAGGTGTCCTCTTCCTTGGACCTGGAAATATTGTAACCCTAATGCAGTGTCTACATGTGTGCCTGGTACAGCAATAATCTGAGTCAAAGAGGAGAAAGCCCATGGCTGCCCGGGCTGACAGGGAGCAGTGTTTGCCTGCAGTCTGTGCTTCTGTTTCAGTGCAGTAAGGTACTCCACTGTAAGACAGTACTGTCCCCAACAGTATTATCCTACAGTGGAGGTAAGTATTTTACTGTGCCCTAATACCAGCGCATGTGTAGACTGTGGTGCTTTACCACAGAGCTAATTAGTCTGCTTCACCATAAAGAACATGTGTATGAACATGTGCATGCACCCAGTATGTTCTAACTTTAACAATGCTGAACACTGTACAGATTTAATACAGTCTCAAAGCAATGTGTTAACTTCCTGCTAACGTAAGGTAACTTATGGTGAATTGCTAGTGAAGGCAAACAAAATTCTTTGGGTAATCTGATATCTTTTATTAGACCAACATTTTATCAGTGAAGGCAAGACATTTGTAGCCATGATATCTGGTTAGGATTAACTTCCCAAAATAGGGTTTCATAGCTTAGTCTTCACTGACAATAAAGAGGCTGAGTGTTTCACTGTGATAGGCTAAATCATGATCAAGGATCCTGGTTTTCACTGATTTAAAAAAAAAAATCCAAAATTTTCTGATTAACAAAACCCCCCAAATCCACATTTTTCCGTGATTAAAATGAAACACCACTCTATATATTAAATTATACAGTGATTATGTATTTTTATGATTAAATATATATTAAATTATATTATGATTAATATTAAATTACTAGCCAATTGACCATCAGGAATGACAGTGGGGGTAGGGATGGAGTGCCACCACTCAGCACCCCACGCCACTGCCATCTCCCAAGAGTGTGGGGGGGGGGGACAGACCTTGTCCCACTGTCCACTCTGCACCTCTTGGCCAGCACCCCCTGCTGCATCCGCCTGCAGGGAGCAATGCTGGCTTCATCCCCCCACTCCAGCCACTCCATTGCTGTCACCTGCAGGGAGCAGGCCCGGGTTGAGGCGGGGGGTGACACCAGCAGCACTGGCCTCACCCCACACCACTCCATCTCCACCATCATGGCAGTGCTCCACTGCACCACTGCCTCCTGTCTGGAATGCTCTTGGAGCACTCTGATTGGTTGCTTCATACAACCAATCAGAATGCGAATAAAGCATTAGCTAGACAGACAAAGGCTTTTATAATTTTAGACTAGTAATATATATATGAATACATAAATATTAAAGTATATTATGATTAAAATGAAACCATATATATGTATAGTGGCGTTTCATTTTAATCATGGAAAAATGTGGATTGTGCGGGTGTGGGGGTTAATATGAAAATTTTGGATTTTTTTTTTAAATCAGTGAAAACCAGGATCCCTGCTCCTTATGATAGCCATGTTGCTTTAAAATCTCAGTGGGGAAAGAGGACAGGTAGTTTTTACCTTGTAGCTGGTCACAGACTGACATGTTACCTTAATGAGCTGCATCAATATAAGAACTCCCTTATTCTTGTCTCCACTGCGATTTTGCAGTGAGACAGATATCATATCATCTCAAGTCTTCTCTCCTGATGTAAAAAAAATCCCTTTCACAGTGAAGATGTGGCCTCTGGCTGGCACTGCTGCTGTCCCTGCATGTGGGGGCATAAATATCTTCTGAACTTTGTGAAGTCAGCAGGGTATCCTGGGTATTACCTTGTTTATTTTGGAAAAGAAAAAAGAACTATTGTTCTTGAGACCAACACTGGGTGCTGAGGCTATTTTGAAACTCCTCTTTCAAACTGTTTACTGTTCTAACCTTCAATTTTAGGGAGATCAGAAGGAAAGTGATTAAAGATCCATTTTTCCCAGCAGAGCCACTATTTTTATTCAATTTTGCTGCCCTTCTGGGCTATTTATTGCCCTTATTGTTCCTTCTGATGGTTGCTAGGGAGAAGGGGATTAAATCTCTGTGTGCAGTGCAGCTCATCCTAGGGTATAATTTTTCTGATATTTTAAATAATATATACTAGATAGATAAAATTACTGTGTTGAGCTTAAAGGAGATATTATTATGCCATATTCTGTTTTAATTTGTTTTTCAGTCTTCTCAAAAACTTTTCTTAAGGGATGCATGGGGAGGACAGAGATGGAGAAATATAACTATGCTTCTTTAGTGAATACCTGAGAGAGATGTAAGTCAAAGAACCGGAGGGACAGAATCTTCCCTCTATAGAAGGAAAGAAAAATGTATGTGTAGAAAGACTTCATTTATATAAATTAGGATTTTGCTCATCAATAATCCCATACCATATGCTGTTCAGCTGGATTTGAAATTTATGTTTGAATTTTATCCAAAATATTTTTTTTAATGTGTCTTCATTAAGGAAGGCCACAAGATATTCCCTGTAGATAGT